CATAAGATATAACCGGCGGCGGAGGAAAAGGCTACGAGATTTCAGATCTGAAAAAAAAGAAGCGGATGGTCAGTTTAAACTACAAAAATACTCTAAGGCATGAAAGAAAAACGAGATTCGTCGAAATCGGAGAGATTACCGGCGAAAACAGAGAGATTAGTCGAAATCGGAGAGATTCGTCGAAATCGCCTTTACAATCGTCCTTGGAGAGAAACGGCGCTAGGGTTTCGGAAAATTGTGAAAAAGTGAAAAAAAAATAACTTTTATATGTCCGGTAAAAATCCGGTTAGGTTAAAACGTAAAATGTTAAAATTAACGGTTTGGTACAATTAGAAGACTGAAATTTCAGTCGTCTGGGAAATCATTTAAAGCAGACGACTGAAGTTTCAGTCGTCTGGAAAATAATTTAAAGCAGACGACTGAAATTCCAGTCGTCTAATCCCTAAACATAACCCCTAAACTTTATTCTCTAACTAAATACTTCGAAACATTAAATTAAACTTGAAAAATGTTTACTATACACAGAAATAAACACATAGAGGTCAAATTAACTTTTTTAAAAAAACATTTCAGCTTTTCAAAATCTAACCCTAAGATTACATACAATACTACAACATATGTTTGCCAAACCCTTAAACCAAAGAATATCATGATTCACTACTTCCACTCATCTATACTGAAAACAAATCAATTTTATCATTTCTTAATTTATATCACTTATAAATGTTTGTAATTACATTTTTTTAATTTGTCACTCATCAAAATATTTTTTACAGAATTTATAAATTATTTTTAAGATTCAATCGTCCAGACAACTAACATTTCAATCGTCCAGACGACTGAAAAGTAACTCAGCCCGACTCAGACAACTTACTGGGGTTATATTCGTAAAAATGTCTTTTGTTTTTTTGTTTGGTCACAGAGGACTATACTGTAATTTCATAGCCCTTTTAGGTTAGATTTGCATTTAATTCAAGTTGGGATCTAGAATTGGGGTTAAAACCAAGTTGTGGGTTAGTTTTGGCAAAAAGCCCTTTTTTAATTCCATATAAATAAAATTTTAACAATAGCATTTCCTTTTTAAAATATGGTCTAAGATAATTAACACTAAACATTATCTTAAGATAAATTTCTATACAAATTAAACTATTTACAAAATATTTTTCTGATCAATATTTAATATTGTTTTTCCTGTTAAAAATATTAAACCAAAGAGAATTGTAATATTTTAGATGAATATAATCAAACATGAATACATATAAAGAAGGTAGAAGTGTTGGATATAGAAATTTCTATTATTTAATATTTTCATATATATAAAATTTTAACAATAATATTTCTGTTTTAGAACATGGGTTTAAAGTAATTTCAAACATAATTTTTTAAGTTACTAATTAACATTATACTGACACATTACAATTATTTATTTAAGGTCATGGCATGTATTAAATAACAGTTTTTCATTTTAAAATAAAAGACATAAACCAAAAGAATATAAAAATAATCTAAAAATATAATTTCGTTTTTTTTAAACCAAAAGAGAATTTTTTATTATATTTCTTTTTAAATCCTGACAAAATATAATTACATAAAATAATTAATTAAGAATTTTTCTTTTTAAGAAGTTGATGATAAACATAATACTAAATTCAGTTTAACTAACAAAAATAAATTGTAAAATATGTAGAGATATTAAAAAACGAATTGGAAAAATTCCACTTTTAAAAAACTATTTGATATTTTCTGAAATATTTATTTACTAATAATTTGTTTTAAATCCTAATCAAAATATAATTGTAAAAATTTTGTATAGTAATTTTCCTTTTCTAAAATCATAAAAAAACCCTAAGAATTTTTATTTTCGTAATAATAATTTTCCTTTTGTAAAACCTAAACAAAAGATATTTATATTATATTTTTGACACATGTCATTATATAAAGATTAATTTTCCAATTTGCTAATTAGCATGATTAAAACATATGACGATTATGTATTTAAGATTATGACATGTGTTAAACAATAGTTTAAAAAAATTTTAACTAAAAGAATTTAAAGTTAACTTTCCTTTTAAAAAAAAAAACTTAAACAAAAAAAATTCTTATTATATAAACCTTGGTTTTCAAATTTGTTAATTAACACGATCTCGACACATGACAACTATATACTTAACATTATGACATATGTTAAATAACAGTCTTTTTAAAGAAAAACTTTGATTAAAAAAACTTTAAAGTTAATTTTCCTTTTGAAAAAAAGCTTAAGTAAAAATCTGTAAAACATTATATATCCATATAAACAATTATTATTTAAAAATATATCTTTTTATTATGTGGATTTAAGATAGTTATAAAATAATAAACATTATTTGAATATAAATTTGATCACATTTGTAAAATATTTACCTAATATTTCTCTTAAAATTATTTAATAGTATTTTCTGTTAAAATATATTAAATTTTGAAAATAGAAAAAATAATCAATTTAATAGTTAATTATACTTTTAAAAAATCTTAAAAATAAACTTAAAAAAAACAAATTTCCTTTTTTAAAAAGTCTTGAAAAACTGTAAACAGTTCTATATTTATATAAATAATTAATTAATAATAGTATATTTTTAAAACGTGGGTTCAAAATAATAAATACCAAAAATTATTTAATATGATTTTCCTACAAATTAAACTATTATAAAATATTTTCTTATAAAAATTTAATATTATTGTCTGTTTAAAAATACTAATTATCTAAAATTGTAAAAAGACTTCTTATAATTTTATTTTAATTATAATATTCCTTTGTCCAGAATATTATTTGCAAGGTTAAATTAAAAATTGATTTAATTATAATTACAAAATATTTAAATTTATTTTAATGGTAATAGTCTTTTTTAACGAACCTATTTTCAAATTGAAATAAAATATATGGGTTGAAAATAATTAATAATTATTTCCTTTAATTAATAATTAATAGTCAGTAGGCAGTAGGCATTTGCTTAAGATAGATAATTTTCTTTAAATAACTACACATTTGATTTTTCTTATGAATATCTAATAGTGATTTTCCTTATAAATATGAAATTATTAATAAACGACAATTTTAGAATAATAGGTAAAAAAATTAGAAAACTTTGCGACAATTTTAAAATTAATAATATATGAATGTTGTATTTTCCTTATTACAATAGATGTCCATTATTAAAAATATTATAAATATATACTTATAATTATGTAACTAATTTGTTTTTATGCAAAAAAAAAGTATAATTTAGGTTAGATACATATTTGTTTTTCTTGAAAATGTTATTACTATAAATATGAATCAAATGTGAAAAGATTATAAAGAAAAATGAGAATCCAAAATATATATCTATATTGAAATTCGTATATTAGAAATGAGGTTACAATAACTTCTTAATGATTGTGATTCCAGCTCTACTACAACTGACACTAATACAATTTATTATTTATTATTTATCATAGGTTTGGTTGCCATAAAACTTTAATTAGTAAGTTTTATTCATAAATAGTAATTTAGACAATAAAAACTCAAAAAAATGGTCTTCACAACATACATGTTTGTTTCTACAAGAATTAAATTAGTATTGAAATGCATAATGTATCAATAGTTTCATTACCTATAGATTACATGATAAAAATGTTGATACAATGTTTTCTCTTAGTTAAACAAATAAGATAATTTTCAGTTCAGCTATAGATTCATTAGTATATTTTTTTTTTGAAATAATGAAATTGTATTATAAAAGTAGATTTCCTTCATTGTATGACTTTGTAGTAGATTTTTTATTTTTTATAGAAATATAAAGTAAGACTATTTTATCTCTAAATATAGAGATGTAATTTCATTCACTACATTTTGTTAAGGTACAGAAATTCTATAAAGTGCATATATCGTCACCGATTTGATTGCCTTGATTCAACTTTCTAATTTATTGTATTCTACTCTAATTCATATTTTCCCACGGTTAGATTCAGTTTAAATTTTTGAGTTTGGATTTTTTTCTCTACCCCTAAATTCGAAATTGCTAATAAATGTTTATGCACTATCATTACTAAAACATAGTCGACAAAAAAGACATTACTGAAACATAAATACTAACCAAAACTTATGTGGAAAAACAATTTTTATTCCTAAAAGACTTATTCTTGGGTTCACCCCCTAGAGTGAACCTCTAAGTTCACCATCCAATAGAATTGCATCATTTTATATTTGATATCTTTTTAAAAAGGAAACAAAATCTTAATAAGTTATATGGTGTGTTTTAAATATAAAAATACAAAAATAATAAAAATAATAATTAAGAAAAACGAAAATAATTATTTAAAAAAAAAATTTTAACATTAAACTCTAAAGTTTAATCTTAGGTAAATCACAAACCTTTGGATAAATCTATAAAAATTTAGTGTTTATGATTTACCCAAGGGTTTAGGGTTTAGGATTAGAGTTTAGGGTTTAGTGTTTATGATTTACCCAAGGGTTTAGGGTTTAGGATTAGAGTTTAGGGTTTAGTGTTTATGATTTTCCCAAGGGTTTAGGTTTAGGGTTTAGTGTTTTAGTGAAAAGAATTTTTTTAAAAGATTTTTTGTATAAAATTTACCAAAGATTTATGATTTACCAAGGGGTTTAGGGTTTAGGATTAGAGTTTAGGGTTTAGTGTTAAAATAATTTTTTTTTAAGAATTATTTTCGTTTTTATTAATTATTATTATTATTTATTTATTTTGTATTTTTATTTTTAAAAACATAATATAACTTAACAAGATTTTGTTTCCTTTTTTAAAAGATATCAAATATGAAATGAAGCAATCCTATTGGATGGTGAATTTAGAGGTTTACCCTAAGGGGTGAACCCAAGAATAACTCTTCCTAAAATAAATTTCACTTAATATAAGCAAAAATCCAACGATTGCAAAAAAAAAATCATTTTTATAATTTTCAAGAAATTAAAACATCAATAAACCCATCAATTGAAACCCTTGCAAATATAGATATTAATTGAGGTTATACTTTTGAGTGTTTATTTCTTAGAGAAATTATATGCCTAGCGCATTAAAGGGTCACAAAATCAGCTCTAATTTGGTAAAAGCGTTTCACCATTCAAAACCAACTGACTTGTATGCAAAATCACAACACTTAAACATGAAGAGAGCAAAACAAGTTAGACTACAAACAAAACAACCCGCTTTTTCCCCTAAGATCTCCATGTCTCCATATCTAAATCTTTTACTTCTTTAACACACTTGATCTCTTCTTCCACTGTTACTCTCAGCTTCATGCATCCCAAACATCGTATCATACATAGGCTTATTCAACGTCTCCGGCAAGTAAAACGCAAGCCCACCTCCCACTAACCCACAAACCGCAAAAATCCCAAATGGCAAACCCTCCCCTAAAACCACCACAAACGGTGCAAGAATCGCTCCCATTTGAGCCGCTTGAGTCGCGCAACCCAGCGCAGCGTTCCTCACCACCGTAGGAAATAGCTCAGCTATATATATGAACAAAAGATTATACGTTCCAGCCATCCCAAATATCCCCAACACACCTGAAACCATCCTAACCGTTTTCCACGGACCAACACCTCCTACAACGAAACCGGTTATACAGAACGCGCAGCTGAACCACTGTGTCCCTATAGTTAACGGTTTCCTCCCGTACCGGTCTAACAAAACCGCTGTAATGGCGAAAGCTGGCATTTCCGTGACGGCGTTGAGGAAGACGTTGAGGTAGAGATTGGTCTTTAGGTTGCCTACGTTGAGGCTTAGTCCATAGTATACTATCGAGACCGTGAAACTTATTGCAATGGCTAATATAAGTCTTATCCTCGTGAGAGGCGAACGTAAAACGTCTTTAAGCGATCCTTCGACCACATTGTTCCTCGTCTCGTCGTTATCTTCCTCGTCATCTAGAACAAGAGTGACACCAGCTGGAATGTGACGCCCGTTAGTTTTAGCTATTGCATGCATCAGCTCCATAGCCTCGTCTACTTTGCCTCTCACGAGGTACCACCTCGGGGACTCGGAGATAAACGGGATGACGATGAGTAGGAAAAAGAGAGAGGGTAGTGATGACACTATAAATAGCTCTCTCCACGACCTGAAAACGTAAGCTATGCCCGAGAGAAGCGCAATGCCAGTGGAGAAGAAGTAGAACGTTGACATTCCTGCTACACCGCGTTTACTCGGTCCAACCGGTTCGGTGGCTAGGACAAAAGCGGTTAAGCCGACACCACCGGTGCTGAAACCGGTTAAGAATCTGAGAGCCACGTAGACCCAGTAGTTTGGGGAGAAAGCTGTCGCGATACCAAAGATTGCATTGATGATGCAGACAACTGTTAGTGAGCCTTTTCTTCCTAGCCTTGAGTCCGAGAGGTGTCCGAATACTCCCGCGCCTGCAACATATCAAGTCGGTATAAATTTCATTAATTATGACATGTTTGTAACTAACCAGAAACGTGATCAGAAAAGTATGCAATATTAAAAAGTGTTACGGATTTATTCAAAAAATTCCAAAGTGCATGTATAGTAGGGACCATAACATATGTATGGTGTAGAAAAGTGAAGTGCTTTATGTTGGACTAGTGGCTCACAATCTTTTTATTGATATGATAACGATATCTTTAACGTCATCAAAGTTTGACAAGTCATAATATATGCAAGTGTAACTGGATATTCCTTTAGAGTTCCGGATATCCAATTCATTTATATAATATGTAGCAAATTTAGAGATTGGATATGCTAAAACCAAACTGGCTCTTTTTTAGAACTAATCTAAACATAACCCACAAAAGACAACTATTTTTGACTTTTTATATTATAAAGCCAACATAGAAGTCATATTATAATGCTACCTTTATGTAGTAGAGTAGTAGATAAGAGTTGCCCAAAAAAAAAAAAAAGAGTAGTAGATAAGCGTGTGATCACGATTGTTTGAAATGAGAACGTGAATGCGATCATCATCATTTATCTAGATATTTAGTCTTCTTTATAGCAAACACACAGACTTTGATAATCATGTTTCAACAGTGAGATTTGTTATCTAATTTAGAAAACAAAAGAAAAGCAGAAAGATAGATCAGTGATGGGCATGTAAAAACCCAGTGAATATATTCCAGGCAGGCGCACGCCACGGCACGAAATGGCTATGTGTTCTAGCTTTTCGGTTTTTAAAGTGAATAAAAGAAAAGAATAATATTATATTTTCTACCAAAAAGCCAACAAGATAAAATATAGCGTGACTCGTTTGTCTGTCACCACGTATATTAATTATATGCTACAACTAGCATACAAGTCCTAACTAGAACTCACTTCTTTGTCATTATATAGTTTTGTTTATTCGGCCACCTATAGCATATAATTCAAACTCTTTCTGTTCTTTTGCGGCAATCAATTAAATTTTTCTTTAGTGGGTCAATTCCAACCGCATGATAAACATATATGTGTATATGCATTATCATCTTAACAAAATATTAAAAAAATGGGAGGTATATCGTTATAGTTCTGAATAGTCTTCATTTCTAAATTTTTTGGATTTATCATTTAAAGTCATGTGAAAGGAACACGTGGTACGATCCTGATCCAGATTCCAGCGGCTAACACGGTGATTCAAGTGCTTTAAATCTTGTTGATCTAATGATAAATTTAGGACAACTAACAATTAATTATGTCAATATATTTGTTATTTAGCAGATAACCTCAAAAAGAACTAAATCCGCGTAAATAAAGAAATAAAGAAAGATATCAGATTAATATCACATATATAAACCCCTAGCCTGTAGTAAAAGATTTTACTTATTTTTTTCTTGTTCTGACTACGTGTTTCCAAAATCTTAGATTCTTTCTACCTTCTAAAAACATTAACAGCTGTTTTAACAGATTAGTTATGATGTGTAATTCGAATTTTAATAAATGAGTTTTGACATGTAATTCATTTTCAACAGCTGTTATTTCCTGTTTTTGTAATTATTCCAATTCAAGAACAAAAAAAAACATTGGAGGTAAGAAAAGAAATAACTTACCGATCATGCAACCAGCAAAGAAGAGGGCTTGAACAAGGCCGATCTTATACTTCTCGCCGCAAACCAATCCCCACTCCGACACCGTGGAGCTTCCTTTGCCTTCTGTCCACTCCCAAGAACCTGGATCCATATCGCAATACGAAGATCCGACTGGACAATCCGACCCGACACACCTCCAGTTCGGTTCTTGATCGGCAAATATCATCACCATGGTGTGAAACGCTTCTAGCGCCCAGGCAAGACACGTCAGCACGAAGTGCTTCATCTGCCAGCGACCAAACTCGCCGCAGTATCTCTGTAACATATCGTCTATGCATAATCTCTCCACCTCATCAGCTGCTTTTTTGGTGGGAGTATTTAGCAGTGGTTGCCGAACGTTGTTATCCTCCGGTGATTCCATATTTATTTCGAGTTTTTTGTGTATCTCTTTATTTTATTTGGAGGCGCTGATGATTTGTTGACGCAAAGTAGGAGAAGGCTTCTTTGTCGTATTTATATTAGAGAGGTGTGTAAAGAATGAGTCTCTTTTCGCTGGTTGTTATCTGAAACCAAAAGGTTATTTTAAATCATTTTATGAGTTTTTTTTGCTTAACTCAAGAGTTCGATTTTGTTTTTATTTTGGTAACATTTATGAGTTGTCCTTTAGAAAATTAGTATGTCACATTCTATATTAATTCCATTGTTAATATAGAATTATTCCAGCGTTGATACAGAATTATTCTATATTTGGTTCGTTTATATAAAGCGTGAGAGTAGATTGTATTTATGTGCGTGTTACGAGAATATTCATGCTAGATTGATCAACCATATTTAAAAACATGTTTAACCATATAAAACAAGACAATGATGTAACACATCTGGATCGATGGCTGTTGCACTCTATACAGTAAGCCTCCGCCTTGTTTGATTAAATCTATACTATCAAAAAAATAATTTCTGAAAAAATCTACTTAAACAAAGTTGTTATACGACCAAAATTTTATGATAACCTAATTCAATATTTATATTATCCTACGTTATACATACTTAAATGTAATCTATTGTTATTTCCTATATTTTTGGTCAATAATTATTGGCACACATACATATTTATTCATTTCATTGAATTTCTCTTTCCAATAGGAACCCCAATATTTAAGTATACAAAAGATCTTCACGAGATCTTCCTTATTTTAACAACGTCCATAGTACTATAGTTATATCTCATTTTATATATTTTGCTACGATATATATATACATATATTTATATATAGTATTAAAATAGTATAATTCTAAAATATCTATTTAAACAAAATTGTTATATCTTCTCTCTTTTCATTAGACTTGACTAATTTTATGATCTTATTTTATATTTCTAACAATAAAAAGTAACTAGGTTCCTTTTGAGTCTAGTTATTTAGATTCTAAATACTTGGACCTAATTAGGTATTTAATATTTATGATTCAAATTTGGCTTGATTCCTTTGGAGTCAGGTCCATAATTTAAACTAGAACTTTACTCGCATTCCCGTGCGTATATTTGTTTTAACTTGTGTTAAACGTAAATTCATAAATCGCTGATTTTATAAAAGAAATCCATGTGTATTTTTATGTTTTGTAGTTTACATATATAGTAGAATATATTAGTTTATAATATAGATATTTGATAATGATTTTTGTTTGTATATAATATTATATTACTATTTTTTTTAACTTGATGCAATTTAGTGTAATTGTACTATTTATATATTAACCTGTTGTTTTTTTTGTTAACTTATTTTAATATGAAAACAACATACTAAGTTCTTTAATTCTTTTGCATTAGTTTTTTGATGAATTATTATTAATTTTATGATATTTTATTTTCTTGAAAATTGAACCCTAGGAATTTTTATATTTGACTAAACTAAATAAAGTAATAGTATATTTAATATTTTCTTATATAATATATACTATATGTTTTAGTTTTAGTTTTTATTTTCACCACAACGAAACAAAAACAATTTTTATTAATTAACTTAAATTGATTCTAAATGAAGTGATATAAATTGTAAATAAAAATAAATACAAAAAAAAAGAAGTACTTAATTTATTGTAAATGCAATGGTTAAATGTATAAAAATAAGAAGTACTTAATCTGCTATAAATGCTTCTGAATAATTCTCATTTATTATGTTGTGTATGTTTCCAAATAGTACAAAAAATGCTTCTGATTTAACATTATATTAATTTTTTTATAACTTAATGCAATTTAGTGTAATTGTACTATACATATATTAAACTGTTTTTTTTTTTGTTAACTTATTTTAAAATGAAACAACATACTAAAGTTTTTAATTTTTTCATTAGTTTTTATGAATTATTATTAATTTTATGATATTTTGTTTTTTTGAAAATTGAACTCTAGGAATTTTTATATCTGACTAAGCTAAATAAAGTAATAGTATATTTAATATTTTCTTTTATAATATATACGATATATTTTAGTTTTAGTTTTTATTTTCACTACAAAAAACAATAACTATTGTAATTAATTAATTTAAATTGATTATAAATGAAGTGATATAATTTGTAAATAAAAAGACATATAAAATGAAGGACTTAATTTATTGTAAATGAAATGATTAAATGTGTAAATAAAAAGAAGTACTTAAACTGCTATCCATGTTTCCAAACAATTCTCATTTATTGTGTTATCCATGTTTCCAAACCGTACAAAAAAATACTTCAGTTTTAATAATATAGATACCTATAAAAGACTTATAATTTTTGGGTACATAACAGATTCAAATTGGTTTGAGGTTTTTAGGACTCGAAAAAAACTCGAAGTACCATAAAACCTAAATATTACTGAAAATATTAACAAATGTCTGAAAATATTTAAATTTTCAAAAAAAAAACAAGAGTTTACCATGAATCTGACTCAAGGAACCGGAAATACCTAAAGACATTTCCTAATAGCAAAATTTTTTTTTTTTAATTTGAAATTTTACGCAATACTCAAAACTATAATCATAAACCTGGATCCGAAACTTTTAAAATTATTCATAATACCGAAAACATATTCAAAATGTTGAATACATGTCTGAAATAGTCAAATATACCTAATATACACAAAACATTCCAGTATTTTGGATACCCGATTGGCTCTCGGGTAGGACCTAAAACTGAACAAAGACAGCGGGTCCAAGAAAAAATCAAATATGTACTTTGCCCTAGACCCAGACCCAAAACACATTTATATTTTGAGGTCGACTTTGGTTGTTTTTTGGATCCGGTAAAATTTCCAGGCATAAAAAAGTATATAAGTGTAAATACAAAATATTTTTTAAAATAATTCATAAATTATATATTTTTAATAAGTGTCCTCTTAGATATAATGACTTTGTAACATAATAATGTATATCAATTCCAAAATACTAATTTACAAACTTATTTACAATCTAAAGAAAAACATGTGCAACGAAAAATAAAATATGTACTTTGTCTTAGACCTAGGCCGAAACCACATTTATATTTTCGGGTCAATTTTAGTTTGGTTTTATGGATCCAGTAAAATATCCACGCATAAAAAAGTGAATAAGAGCGTATATAAAAGTTCTTATATAAAATAATTCATAAATTATAAAATTTTAAGCAATTGCTCTGCTTGGATGTAATAACTTTGTAACATAATAATGTACATCAATTTCAAAAATACTAATTCACAAACTTTTTTTACAATCCAAAGAAAAAACGTGCTTTCGAAATACAGATCAAAATCTAGTCTATCTTATTAAAGCATAAATATTGTGTTGGACATGACCTTTATTTTGTAAATTTTGAAATTAAATATATTTTTCTATACCTTTATTCAACATACTGTAGATCTTGTTTATACTACTTTATACTACTTTAGACATACATTAAATAGCTAATATTCATTTCTTTATACTACTTTCCATGTTTCCAAACAATATATTATTTTCTTTATACTACTATGATACTATCGATGTTTCCAAACAATATAAAATATTAGCTCTCATATTTTTAATAATTTCTAACAATTTTATTTAGATAAATTAAGTAATTTTTAAAATTCAACTAAGTTATAAAATACCAAAAAATAAATAGAACTTATTTACATGTTTAAATATTACATATTGGTTATCCATCGGTTCAATCGGCTGGTCTCAGTGTTTAGTGACTTTTTAAATATGAATACTTTTTAAAAATCTGAATTGAATTATCAGATCACTAGATTAACCAGTTAAAATATGGTTTCAAGTAGGGCTGGGATTTCGAATACTCAGATCGGTTCCGGGTTTTTCGGGTACAGAAGAATAGGACCCAATGAGTACTTGTAATTGTTTCGATTCGGTTTCGATTTGCGTCTTGCCGGTTCCGTATACCCGAAATCATATATATTTATAAACTTTGGAGGTATGATAGAGATATAGGACCGCGGCCCAGCGGTAAATTGTGGGCTTCCCTCCTTTCAGACCCGTGTTCAAACCTGCGTAAGGTAAGTTTTGTAATTTTTTTTTATTTTTTTTCATTAATGAAGGGTAAAACGGTAGTTGTGTCATCTTCTTCTCCGAGTCTCCCTGTTCTAATTTACAGCCACCTCAATTGTTCTAGACATAAAAATTCATCAATATGACCCGTGTTTTTTGTTACTTACACATAAAACTCACAGATTTGACCTACTTAAATCGATTTCAACACGAAGGGGTTGATTGGAAAGAGTTGTAACTTTATATTTTTGCTGTAGAATTAAAACTGTAGATTTTCTGATGTGGCTGTGAATAATTTTGCTCTAAGATTTTGGCTGTAGGATTAAAACTGTACATACAAATTTTCTAAAGAAAAAAATTAGTGCTCTAGGTTTATTGCTTTCTAGAGCCAAAAACAAAGAAAAAGAAAATAAAAATATGTAGCTTTAAAAATTCTTTACAAAATATGATTGATAAATATTTTTACTTTAGAAATATTTTTGGTTGTACAAAGACTCTACATCACTTTTAAAGCACTTTCCAATCACCTCTGAAAACACATAGAATTGTATCTACATTCACGACTTCAAACATAGATTTCGGTTTTGAACGGGTATCCTAAATTTTTGGGGTATAAACCGAACCCGATCCAATATTCGTGATTATTTATATTTTTATCCATTGGTTAAAACCAGAGATACCGAACCGGTCCATTTCGGGTCGGATCCAGTTCGAATACTCGATTCCGGTTAAAGGTCACATGCCTAATTTTGGGTCAAATTTAAAATTACTGATTTAAATATAAAAATATTTTAAATAAACATTTTTCAAATTAACAAAATTTGTTAATTGGTAAGGAAATTTTTCATCATTAAATGTTCGAGCGCTTTCATCTTGTTTATTGTTTTCAAGTTTACTATATTTATTTACTGCATTAATACCTATTAGCCTAGCTTAATCATATAACTATTAGATCTATTA